CTGAGTAGAATATTCTTCTCAACTTACCTTCACTCACTGTAGTGTCTGAAAAATGCTTTTTCACCTTCAAGCTTCAACCAGGTGGACACCTCCTCCAGGAAGACTTCCCAGCCCCTTCATTCTTCAAGTTAAGAGTTGAAGGACCCCCTCCTCTCAGTTTCCACTGCCCCTTAAAGATAACCTTGTTAGAGGATTTGACCAGGATGGAGCACTCTGGCTGTACCTCCACTCCAAAGGATGCCTCAATGAAGAACTTCCAGTTTATCTTTCCTCCTCCATGCCTAGGGTGTGGTACGGCAAAGTTTACATGAAATTTAATTCAGTGCATATCTTGATTCGTACCCACCACCTGACCCTCATACGCTCTGTATCTAAACTGTGTCTCAACAAGTAAGAAACTAACTCTCCACACTGCTCACCTCAACACTGACTATTTTTCTAAATGACCTGAGACCCTAACTAGACCACAGGAAGGGGGGGCGAGCTGGTATCATCACACATGGCTGATTTGCACACAGGTACCACTGGTGACACTAGGGTCTGAACTCAGGCTTTGTGCTCACAAAGCAGGTGTTCTACCACTTAAAGCCATGCCTCAATCCATTTTTCTCCTCCATGCCTAGGGTGTGGTACGGCAAAGTTTACATGAAATTTAATTCAGTGCATATCTTGATTCGTACCCACCACCTGACCCTCATACGCTTTGTATCTAAACTGTGTCTCAACAAGTAAGAAACTAACTCTCCACACTGCTCACCTCAACACTGACTATTTTCTAAATGCACCTGAGACCCTAACTAGACCACAGGGAAGGGGGGGCGGAGCTGGTATCATCACACATGGCTGATTTGCACACAGGTATCACTGGTGACACTAGGGTCTGAACTCAGGGCTTTGTGCTCACAAAGCAGGTGTTCTACCACTTAAGCCATGCCTTCAATCCATTTTTCTCTGGTTATTATGGAAATGGGATCTTTCAACTATTTGCCTGAGTTGGTCTCAAACCTCTATTCTCCCAATCTTAGCTTCCCAAGTAGCTAGGATTTCAGGCATGAGTCACTAGCCCCATGAATACCACTGGGGACTTTAATCTCACCCCCATATCTAGACCATAGGCCTGGGCACCCCTCTGGGGGTGGGACCCACACATCATATTTTTTTTTAATTTCCTAGTGGTTCCAGCCAAAGTTAAGAGACATATTCATAGATAAATATGATGCCAGGAACTACTTTTTGCTATTGTGGATGAGAGTGAGAGAGATGCACAGAATAATAGAGAGAATAATAGGGAATAAATGAAAAAGAGGCTTGGTATTGTACACACTGGGTTCTTCACCCTCACAGGTACTGATCTCTGGGGCCAGATAATTCTTTGTTGTAGTGGGCTGTCCTGTATGCTGTAGGATGTTTACCAGCATCCATGGATCTCCCACACACACAGTTGTGACAACCAAAAATGTCTCCAAGCATTGTCAAGTGTTGCTGGGATGGAGGAGTGAAATCACGTCTGGATGAAAACCACTGGTAAAGACTAGCCACCAAACCATTGACTGCATATTCATTTCCCCTTTCAATTGTAAGTCACATGACCACTTTCCCAAACTGGCCTGAGTATCTGAGAATCATAGACATCAAGGTCAAGAGCCTCAAGGAGGGCCATGTAGGTCTGAGCAGTATACAGGATGGGGTGGGAGACGGTTGGTGAGGTCAACAGCAAATTCTGTGGCAAGAAATAGTCACAGAGAAAACAGATCAGGTCTAAGTAGGTAATAGGCTACCTAAAGGAGTGGGTAGAAGCGGGTGTGGTAGCCCACATCTATAATCCCAGCACTAGAGAGGGCTGAAGCAAGAGGATGGAAAGTTTGAGGCCAGCCTGGGCTACATAATGAGACCTTATCTCAAAAGAAAAACCAAAAAAAAAAAAAAAGAAAAGAAAGGAAGGGAGGGAGGAAGGAAAGGAAGGGAGGGAGGGAGAGAGAGAGAAAGGTAGGGAGGGAGGGAGGTAAAGAGGAGGAGTAGATGTTTATCAAGTCAATAAAAGATGATCAAAATTAACAAGAAGATAGCCAGATAGTAAAATTACAAGTTGTAGGCAAGGAGTGTTCTCAAGGATGAAGGCAAGCAATGACCAGCCAGGAAGAGGTGCATAATCAGAGAAGGAGGACTCAGAAGCTTCTGAACAGGAAAGGACCACACAAAGTAGGGTTTAGGGTTCCAGCACAGCACAGTATGCAGGAGATTGGGCTGCCAACAGTCCAAGCCCACCTGTTGATGGATGCCTGAGATGCCCTCAGTCAGGGCCAAGGCCGTTTCTCCCCAGAGTTCAGCAGAGCCAGGTGTAGATGTTGGTACTGGAAACCTCAAATGGCAGACTCTGCAGTCATTAGAACCTGTCTCCTGAGCACCTGGAGCAGCCACAACTTCTTTCCAGGCCTTTGAGCCTCCTCCCCAGGCCCCTGGGTCCCTGAGCAGCAGCCTTCAGAATGGCCCCTCCAGACATCAGCCAACACACGGGCCACATAGAGCCCCCAATAGCACCATCACTCCAGGCCAGGCATCCTTCTCCCCATGGGTTCCATGCCCCTCCAGCACCTCCACTGCCCTTGCTCTGCACCCTCCACTCTTGGTTTCCCTCTAGATCTCTCTGTATTCCTTCTTAGCCCCCTTCCTCACCCTCTGCCCACCTCTGAATATTGATGTGCCCAGACTTCAATCTTCTAATTGCTACTTGGACCATCTGTCTAACACCCAGGTCTGAACTCCCTGGCTCAAATAACCCCTCTATTGCTCTTTTCTGAGCACAAGATAAAGTCCAGGGTACTCAACCTCTTCTTGACCTTGCCCCTGTCCCCCTTCGAGGCCCTCTCACCCTGCACCTACATAGTCTGAATCATCTCTTACTTCTTCTGCCAAAAAGCCACATCCACACTTAACAGTCTGAAGTCCTCGGTTTGTTTGTTTGTTAAAACAGGGTCTCTCCATGCAGTCCAGGCTGGCTTGGAACTTAGCCTGTAGTCTAGGCTGGCCTCCAATTCTTCATCCTCCTACCTCAGTCTCCCAAGTGCTGTGATTACAAGTGTGCACCACGGTGCCTGGAGACCTTGATTCATTTTTAAAAGCACTCTGAGTCAGTCATAGCTTGGGTTCACTTCTCCACCAGACTCTGAGCAGACCTAATTGGCCCTTCCATTCAGCCTTAGCACCCAGCTGGCACCTGGTACTTCCTATCCAACGTAGTACTTACCATGTGCTTAGCACTGTCTAAGAACAATGAACTGCTATGAGCTACTTTATAGCATCCCCACAAATCAGTTATTGTACATTATTGTTTATAATGATAAAGGATTATAATTTTTAAAAATTATTATTATATCCATTTTACAGATAAGAGAACTGGGGTGCAGAAACTCCAGAGTTACTCAGTTAGAAATGGGGAGATTCAAACCCAATGTGACTCAAGCCAGTTCTCACTGTCACTGCGAGATACCTCATCTTAATAAAAGAGTCTTTTCAATGAATGTGAGGTGTAGTGAGAGCAGGCAAATGTGGGCCTTGACATGGGACTCTTTGAAAAGAGGCTGAGCTGGCACCCAGCCGAAGGAGCCCATGATGGGAGCCCAGCCTGAACCGCAAAGACACTTCCCAGGCATCCTGACTTCTCTGGGCCACAGCAACTTACCTGGCTGGGGCAGAAATGCCACAAATGTCAGGACTGCTTCAGCCATGGCAGCACCAAGTCAGGCCCAATTTGGACCAGCGTTACAGGGTTTGATGGCACCCATGAAACTGACAAAATACTGACAGGAAAGGATGCCCTGGTTCAGAAAGACTAGGCAGGTGGACAACATGAACCCACAGGGGAGCTGAGGCCACAGACCACAACGGGAGGCAGCTGTCATCAAGAGTCTGCCTGCCAAGATACAGAAACAGCCAAGATGCCCCTCTACTGATGAATGGATTAAGAAAATGTGGTACTTATACACAATGGAATTTTATGCAGCCATGAAGAAGAACGAAATGTTATCATTCGCTGGTAAATGGATGGAATTGGAGAACATCATTCTGAGCGAGGTTAGCCTGGCCCAAAAGACCAAAAATGGTATGTTCTCCCTCATATGCGGACATTAGATCAAAGGTAAACACAGCAAGGGGATTGAACTTTGATCACATGATAAAGCGAGAGCACACAGGGAGATAAGAGGATAGATAAGACACCTAAAAAATTAGATAGCATTTGTTGCCCTCAATGCAGAGAAACTAAAGCAGATACTTTAAAGCAACTGAGGCCAACAGGAGAAGGGGACCAGGAACTAGAGAAAAGGTTAGTTCGAGAAGAATTAATTTAGAAGGTAACACACACGCACAGGAAATTAATGTGAGTCAACTCCCTGTATAGCTATCCTTATCTTAACTAGCAAAAACCCTTGTTCCTTCCTATTGTTGCTTATACTCTCTCTTCAACAAAACTAGAGATAAGGGCAAAACAGTTTCTGCCTGGTAGCGAGGGAGTAGGGGGGGGGAGCAGGAGAGGGCGGGGTAGGTAAGGGAGGGGGCAGGGGGGAAGGGGGAAGAAATGACCCAAATGTTGTATGCACATATGAATAAAAGAAAAAAAAAAGATTCTGCCTGTCTGGACAGACCATCTGGTCAAGGATGCCCATCCAGCCTGCCTGGGCCCAAGAGGGAGAAGGCAGGGTTGCCATCGGCCAAAGGAAACAGCTCCCTAGCAACCTGTTCCAGGGGACACTCAGTCACTCACTCAGCATCCTGGGACTCTCACCATTTAAAGTATTTCTACTTTAAATGCCCTGTGCTCGGTAGGTGAGTGGAGCTGGCACCTGCAAGGGGAGAAAACGCAAAGGAAGAGGTTGAGATCCCAGGTATCTTATACCTGAGACTGTAACAGAACCCCCATTTGCAGCCAGACAGCCCCCAGATCAGTTCAGAATGAGTGAGCATTCAGACGACAGCATGTTGTCTAAAGTTATCAGGGCACTCACCCGCATAGGCTCGTCAGGGAACCCAGGTTTGCTGGGCCTGTCCTGTCTCGGAGACCTCAGGAGCTGTTTGGCCTGCTTTTCCATTAGAATTGGAGAGGCCTCTGAAAAAGTCAGGAAGGGGCATGAGGGACTGTCAGGAGAAGGAAGTACTCACTCTCCATCTCCATAGTCCAAGGCAAAGGATCTGCCAAGTTCAATTTTGGTTAAAACACAAAAGTTCTTTTCCAGGAACCTGTCCCAAGGCAAGTGGCATTCCAGAAGGCTCAGAGAAGAATCTTAAGTTGTTTCTAATATCATGAACTCAAAAGTCATGCAATTTATATCTATTTACCTATCACAATGACCCATTCCCTTAAAAGTAGACATTCAATAAGTATATGCTTTTTAAAACATTTTCTTCTGTTCTCTGGTCTGTGTTTCTCCTCCTTCAGGTTCGTTTTAGTGGGAGTGTTTTTTTTTAAATCTTCAACAGACAAAATCAAGCTTAAAGTTATTCCTAGAAGACACCCATAAATAAAATTATGTTAAACTTGATCATCACACATGCCCTAAGGTATTATGATAATAAAATCACATTGTTTGGTAATCACATCAAATACTAAAAATATTAACATGGTAAAAATATGTCAAGTTTCGGTGATCTCCCCAGAAGGTGTACTTGAAGACTTATCAGCATTTTGGAGAATTAGTTCCCAAATACATTTACGTATTTTTAAATAATAATTTATTCCTCATGATAGTAATTCTAGAAGCCTGCTGTTCCAGGAAAAAAAATAATAAAAAAGAGCATTGTGTATTGAAATATCTATGCAATATACACGTGTATTGTTTGAAATGGAAATGTTTCTTAAATGCTGAATGCATGTCCCTATCCAGGGTTCATGTCAGCAAAGCAAGAGGCTGTGTTTGCGGAGTGCTCACCTGAGAAGAGCAGCAGCAGGGCGAGAGCGAGGAACAGCACAGACAATTTCTCCATCGTGCCCAGAATCCTCTCTGCCTGAAGCTGAATGACATCTCCAGGACTGAGCCAGCCTACTTGAGGAAGCCCTCCCCGTCAGGTTCAATGCTGTTTTGGGCTTGGACTAACAGCACTTGCCATGTGATACTAAATGGGTCTGACTCTGAGTTTGTAGTAATGACCTCCAAAATATTTTCCTCTGAGTTCCTGAGAACTCATCCTGAGGCAGGAAATTGTCCCACTGTAAGATAACTACCAGAGCTTGACTTTGGGAATGCTCATGTAAGCAGATACCTATCTAGTGCATTCTATAGTTGTTGGTTATTTATGTGACGCTCCTAATCTATAATTAATTGTCCAGTTTATGACAGTGCCATGTAACTGATATTAAACCAATTGTTCTGCCTACTTGGTTGATATAAAAGCATTTTGAGAAAATAAGTTTTAATCATCTATTACATTTGCTTCATTTTATGACATTTTTCTGGAGCCCATTCACCAATCTAATAGACACCCTACCCCTGTCAATAATTTCAGAGGTAGGCAGGGAAATTAGCAAGGGGCATGACAAAGGGGAAAAAGTTTTTTTCAGCTGACTTTGGGGCCAAAAGACCAGGATTCAAATCCTGGCTTCACCTCTTTCTAGTACTGCAACTTTAGGTAAGTCACTTAGCCTCTCTGAGCGTCTGTTTTCTCCTCCGAAAAAAGGAGATGAAAGTTCCTACATTGTGGGATGTCATGAAGAATAAGGGGTAAGCTATGAACTTCGTGACAACTCTCTATTATCCTTCTCCTGGTTACAAATGAGGAAAGTGAGATCCAGAGATGTGAAGTCAAGCCCAAGTTCACACATTATGGATGCTGAGGGAAGCCAGAGTCTATCTACTATCTTCAAACCTATGACGTGCTCTTCCTGTTATATCCCGTATCAGAGTTTGGATGTTAAATGTCCCCACAAAGGCCCATGTTAAAGCCTTGGTCCCCAGAGTGGCAGTGTTGGGAAGTGGTGCAATCTTTAAGATGTGGGAGCCTCCCTGGGAAGTCCTAAGGTCACTGGGGACATGCCCTTGAAAGAAATTATGGGGTTTTGGCCCCTTCCTCTCTCTCTTTTGCTCCCTAGCTCATGATGTAAGCAGTTTTGCCTCATCACACACTCCTGCTATGATGTGCTATCTGAAAAACAGTCTTGAAAAAATGGGGTCTACCAATCATAGACTGGAACCTCCAAAACTGTGAGCCAAAATAAACCTTTCCTCTTTATAAGTTAATCGTCTCAAGTATTTCATTATAGTGACAGAAAGTTAACACATTCCATGATGTCAGGGACATCCCTTCCTCTCTTACAGGACCTTATGCAATATGTACCAGTAAGATATAAGCAGCTTTATTCCAGACTTAAGGTTATTTTCATAAAGATAAGAAAATCTCAATATGCTGAAGTCCTTTTAAATTCATCTATAAATATCACATGAAGAAATTATTAAGCAATTATAAAAAAAATATGTCTGGAAGGGATGTGGCATTTATTTGGATAAAACTCTCCATTCAGAGAAATGGTCTGATGATTCTGTGGTCACTTTACCAGTTCAAAAAAAACAAAACTGACCTGTAGTTGTCCGAGTTTATGCTAATGTTGTGACTGATACAAAAACTGAATGTTCTGCCCACTCGGTTGGTAAAGAGATCTTTTGAGCAGATTGTAAACAAGGCAAAAAATCATGCATTTTAGCAAAGTTGCCTCACATATTAATTTGCTCAGAATTTGTGGTTCAGTTTTCTGCATTCTGCTGCTACAAACACCTTTCCATTTCCACAGAGTTTTTAAGAACTAAGGAGTTTTAGGAGCATTATTTTAGGAATACACACATCTCACACATCTATTTGTCAAATAAAGTACCTTGAGCCTTTATATTCATATTCAAATTTTTCATTCCTTTTACTCTTTGTGATTGGAAGGAACATAAAGCTACATTGCTTTGTTACAGCAAATAAACATCTTCCATGGTCTAGGAAAGTCTATACCTACCTAGAAATTTCTAATGTGTGAAGTGTGAGTTGACTCTACAATATTTCTTTCATTTTTGTAATAGTTGTCTATATCATTATTGTTCAATACAAATTATAATATGGGAGGCTGGGTACAGTGGTTCATGTCTGTAATCCAAGCTACTTGGGAGGGGACAATTGGGAGGTTCAAAATTCCAGGCTGGCCCAGGCAAAAAGTTAGTGAGACCCCCATCTCAATAAATAAGCCAGGGTTGATGGTACTTTCCTGTGATCCCACTAGTTAGGAGGCCATAGTTGGGAGGATCTTGGTCTGAGGCTGGGCTGGGGCAAAAAAAAAAAAAATCCTATCAAAAAAATAACTAAGGTAAAAAAGGGCTAGGAATGTGGCTCAAATGGTAGAGTGCATGCCTGGCAAGCATAAGACCCTGAGTTTTCCCTCCCCATTATTTTCCTTCCCCCCCAAAAAAGTGAAATAGGCATGGTAATTCATGCCTATAACCCCAGCACTTGGAATGTTGAGGCAGGAGGATTATAAATTAAGACCAGCAGGGACTGTACAGTGAGTCCCTGTCTCACAAAAACAAATAAATAAAGAGAAAACCTTTAAAAAGGTTAATTTTTTAGTATCTTATTTAACACAATGTAATATGTAAAATACCATCTCAGCATGTAACCAGTAAGAACAAGTTGTTCATGGGATATTTTACATTTTTTTGTATCAAGACTTCAAGTGCTCTGCAGCCACGTGAGACTTGTGGCTACTGCACTGGACAACCTGGGTTTAGATTCTTCCATCCCTGTCATGGCCACCCACTGTTACCTCTCATCCAGCTTCCGCACCAGGTTCTCAACTGTTCTCCCAGATTCTTGTTCACCTCTGTCTCCTGCTCACTCCAACCCAACCTCCATGCAGCAGTAACGGTGACCTTCATAAAAGAGAAATAAAGAATAGTAAAAGTTCCCCAGTCCTCACCCCCATGGCTCCATCTAGTAGTACTCACCATAATTTATCAATACTGTGTTTATTTGCTTACTTGTTAAAAATCTGTCTCCTCCACTGGATTGGAGGCCCTCAGTAAGTTTGAATTGCTTTTATAGTGGACGGGAGAGTTGACCCTGCATCACACCTGGGATGCTGGTGCGAGGTCTTAGGTGCAGGTGATCCCTCAGCTGTGATATTGGACGGGCCATTCAAATGACTTTCAGTTGGCCTTTGGGAATATTGTCCCAAAAGAGAGAGGAGTTATAGGAAGACTGAAAGAACAGGTGTCATTGTGACTGTCATTCTAGTGGGTGGGAGAATTCTCTCCTTTTTCCTTTCCCCATTCCCACAAGGCTAGGGGTCAGGCTCTCTGCAGAAGACGCAATTCTCAATAAATCCACAAGGTGGCAGAATAGAGAGCAGAACTAGGGACAGCCAAGGTCAAGGGAAAGAAATTCAAGGCCACCAAGAGATTGCCAGGACGCCCAGTGAATCACTGGACGTGGAGGGAGATGATGCTACAGTGCTGAGATGATTCCCCTACCATTTTAGCGGATTTTAGACTTCTTGAAAGTCTTCATCAGATCCTCTGGCCAGGGGAAGTTGAATGATGAATTTGACAATGTTACCACTGGTCGTGGTGGCACAGCCTGTGGTCCTAGCTCTTGAGAGTCTGCAGCAGGAGGATCAGGAGTTCAAGGCCAGGCTAGGCTACATAGGGAGACTCTGACAAGAAAGGAAGAGAGAAAGAGAGAGAGAGAGAGAGAAAGGGAGAGAGAAAGGAAGGACTTTATGACTATTATGACTGTCATTCTCCCTCCTTCTCCTCTCTATGTCATTCATATATTATTCTCAACATGATAGAAAGTCCATAAAACCATTCCAAAAGATCAAAGAGACAGAGGTTAATCACATACATATTAAGTCATACTACTTGCTGGCGGAGTGGTTCAGGTGGTAGAGCGCCTGCCTAGCAAGTGTGAGGTCCTGAGTTCAAGCCCCAGTATTGGAGAAAAAAAAAAAAAGACACACAAACTTTACAGATTTTTGAAATAGAAATGTGTCTTTATGTGAAAAGAAAAAGTGGTCCCTCCCTTTTGACTCTGAGTTGGTTTGCCCATTCTCCACTCCTGTCCCTGGTTTCCCTTTCCATCGTCAGCACATTATGCACACAGCCCTTCCTGTTTGGAGCAGCAGTACAATGGTAAGAGGTTTTAGCCTTGGACAGGGGCCTTTCTGGCCTCCTGTGTGCTTCCACAAATAGACTTTAATTTCTCCTCTGGGTCCAGGACATTGGCCTCAACTTGTGTCTGTCCAGTAGGTATGGACATCCAAGGTCAGCACCAGTTCAGATGGCCAGAACCAGTCTGCCATCCAACCCAAACAGGAACCACTGGCAGGGGGCAGGAATGTAAGATGGGGACAAATGATCACAGGAGGGGGTGGACGTGGGTGGAATAATTTGTGAAGCCACTTTGAAGCCATATTACATTTTGTTCAGGAAAAGCACTGGACATTTAACTAGAAGAGACAGCACTAATTCTGGGGAAAATACTGCAATACAGGTTGTTTTTTCTCTATGGCGTCTCAATCGGGTGACAAAACCTCACAGAAATCAGAAGACTCTTCAGCAATGGTTCACAAACCTTACCGTGCATAAGAATCACCTGGAGGTGCATCAGACATCTGGGAATCCTCTGATGTAGAAGATAAGACAAAATTTTCATAAAATTAAAAAAAAAAAAACCAACCTGAGGCCAGGCCACTGGCACACACCTGTAATCCCAGCACTGGGGAGGCTGAGGAAGAAGGATCAAGAATATGAGGCCAGCTTGGACTACAGAGCAAGATCCTGTCTCAAAACAAAAACAAAACAACCACAAAAGAGAAGACTTTTCACCAAATAAGTTGAAAACTCACATGTACATGCAAATCTGCACACAGATGTTCACAAATGCTTTATTCATAATTGCCAAGATTTGGGAGCAGCCTAGACGCCCTTCCAGAGCTGAAGGATAAGTAGGTTGCA